AATTAAACGTAAGTATTATAATAAATATATTTTCTTGTAAGGAAATTACAGTGTTCATAATTATGAGACTCTCTCTCTCTCCCACTCTCTCTCTCCCACTCTCTCTCTCCCACTCTCTCTCTCCCACTCTCTCTCTCCCACTCTATATATATATATACATACATAATTCTTCGAAAATGGTATTACTTATAATTTGTTATTGATATCCTGTAAAGAATGCATTAGACTCAATTATATATAATTCAACAGTTCTATTTACCATGCCAGTTATATAAAACCAAGAATTATATATAAGTATATTATAACAAGTATTTATATATTCATATTTTTATATTTAGTCTTCCGAAAAATATGAAACAGTGTAGATCATATAATAAATACAATGTATACATTGATTCGAATTTACATACCGTATCACTTAAGGTATATAGTATGTAATTAGCACATAAATAAGTTTTTATTAAAAAATGTTTTAATAGTAAAAATTGCAATTTATGTTATTCATTCTTCAAATTTAAATAAAGTCGTTTCAAACAATTAAAGCAAGTATAGAAATTGTTAATGTTAGTGTTTTTTAGTTTTATAGAAAATATTTTTCGATGTACAATTAGCTCTACTATTTTTATAAAATACAAAACGATTGAATTTAAAAAATATTTAAATCGATTTCATACAATATAAGTTATTTAAAATGTATAATCAAAAGGTAAAATTAAAATTTAATTATATAAATTTAAACGTGAAGGAATTTTTTTTTAATGTATCTAAATTTAATTTAGATGAAATTTTTATTTTATAATAGTTAAATTCACTATATTTTAATATATTTTCTGTTTAATTGCATAACTAAATAAACTTATACTTATTATGTAAATTGGATGACAATTACTATTTATTATGCAATAAATTATATAAGAATAATATTATTATATATTCATAGAGCTTTTTCAATTTTTAAATTTAAATTTAAACAGCTATCAAAGAGTATTTAACCAAAATTGTTTAAAAAATAATAGTTTTAAATGACAACGTATTTATATTATAATATAGATTTTAATTAATACAATTTGCATTATATTGTAGAAAATACATTTCTATTATAAAAGTTTTTGTGAACATCTTTTTATTATGAAGTAAGTTACAGTTACGGATAACAAGTGCAATACTACTTTATAAAAATGTCTCAATGATTTTAGTAGTAATATTTATTGTTTTAAAAGTATCATTTTCAGTGTTTATTATCAATTATCGTTTCAAGAAGAAATTTAAAGGAGCATGATAATGTCCTATTTTTTTCGCCATGACCGACATTGAAGTTATGGAAACCAGAAAGATTGAAAAAAGAAAAGATTATCGGACGTACTCGAGGCAAAATGAGTATAGCCGATTTGAAATAAGACGTAAAAATAAAAAACAATAGATTCTTTTGTAAAGTGGTAGAAAGGACTGCCTGCCTGTCTATGTGGTTAAATCTCATATTACGTATTCCGAGAGCATTACGTTGAAAGTGACTCTGGGTTGGCATTCGACGGCGATTCTCAGGCAGATAATTTCTTCTCTATTTCTTCGCCTTCATCGAATTCAGGAACAAATGGATAGATACTTTATCCTAGTGAAAAGAATAGCTGGTTAGACTTCTGCTCTCAATTTTTTGTTATGCCCCGTATTGCAAGCCCTGAAACTAGATTGAGTCAGATTAACGGACTTGATGTATCATAAGCGATGAAAAATTGTTTATGATTTTCAAAATTTTTTCACACATTTTATTATAATAGTGTTGGATTTTTATACTTAAAAATATATGAATACATTTTTAAATTTTATATATGCAATATTGCAAGACAATTATTTTATTGTTATTTTATATCGACATTTTATTTAGTAAACGAATTTTTTCATATTATTTACGGTACATTTGGTACCAGTTATACTTTAATTTCAAGTTTTAAATCAAATTTACGTAAAGTTAGCTCTTATTTTTTTGATATGCAAATTAATTTGCATTATATGTTTTTACAATCTTGAAAAACTATTGTTATATTTATGTTATTAATACTTATTTCATAATATAATATTCATATATATATAATCAATTAGCGACTATTTTGAACAAATAAATTATAATATAAAAATAAAAAAGATTATTTTTATATTTATTTTATTAATAATTTTTTTCAAATTAAATCCTAATATTAATTACGATTGAAAAAATATTGTTTGTATAATATTAATCAATACAAATAATAAATCTTATTTAATAATTAATTTTGCTTTTATTATTGATTAATAGTTTTAAAAATAATGAATTATTTCTGTCTTATATACTTTGACTCGAATATAAATTTTTAAAATAATATTATATTAAAAAATATATATATTTAATTGGGGATAAAATAATTGATTTAAACGACATTCATTGGTATTGTATTATTTAATAAGGAGATTAATAAAATATAAAATTAATATAGTTAAGAAAACTATATTTATTGCTATGTGCTTGAGAAAATCTGATGAATATATATATATATATATATATATTCAGTTTAGTAGAATATCCATTATTATTAAAATTTGACATTTATTTCAGAGAAAATAGAAAATGGTTATTTAATTCAAACTTTATTATTTAAGGCTTAAATTCTCGTATCTAATTTATAATCATAAAAATTTATACATAAAATAAATATATTTTATAATTTTATATGCATTACATTGTTTAAAATAAAAAAAATTAAATCCTTCAAAAAAAATCTTTGTTCTTTAATAGGCATTTAAATATCAGCTATTGATATTAAACGAACTAAATCAACTAAACAGTAATTATTATGCAATAGTATTAACATGTACATGTGGAAATTCAATACATTAATATTATCGCGGATGGAATTAATTATTAATTATTTATCGATTATTCTTAGATATATAATTCGGTTATTGCATTAACAGCTTTATGTACTTTTTGCGGGTTCTCTGTCATTCTTTGAAATATACAGTTTGTGAGTTTAATATAGCAAATTAAATCCTCTCATTAATTTATTTGTTTGTGCATAAACTTTTGCTTTTTTTGCTTAGAGATAAAATTAATAAATGTTAATGCAGTGCTTCTATTATGATTTCTGTAATATAGAATTATACATGTACTTGACTTACGAGGATTTTTATTTATGCTCCATGAAAATAAAGTATGAAATTTATTTCTAAGATTTGATTCTATGTCGTACTCATTATTTCTGTAATCTTAAATATAAATAAATCGATATCATTAGTGACATTTAGCTCATTATATTAGGAGATGTGTATATAAATTTATCATACTGAGTACAAATAGAATTACCAAATTAAAAAATTGCTTTACTGTAAATATAGAATAAAAATCATTGTACATTTATTATTGATACATATTATATAGAACAATATAAACAAACGTATATCGAATAATTTTTATATTCTTAGTTGAAAAATTAACAACTTTTTAAAGTATAACTTTAAGAAAGTATTTACAGTTTAAAATTATATGATAATATAAACATAAAATGTTTTGATTTCAAAATTAATTATTTTATTTATCTCTAAAGTTTCATATTCAATATTTTGATTTTATTTTCAATACGACTTATTTTAAATAATTAGAAAGTAATTCGATATAATTAAAAGTAATTATTATTTACAGCTAGAATATGGATTTGTATATAAATCTTATTTTTATTTTAATGTTTTTAAGTGTTTTATTTAGATTTATATACCTAACTATAACTGTAATATACTTATATTTTGTTATATTTCCTTTTAATTGTTGAAATATAGATATATTTTTGGAAAAATGAATTAAAGTTTTATTTGTTTAAGTTAAAGTAGTTTGAAATACAATTTGGAAGAACTATTGAAAATGTCATTATGAACTATTTAGTTATGATTGAATTAGATAAATAGTAATTTAGTCATATGATCATATTTTAGGATGCTTGTCTTTTCTTTTTAAAATAATAATTTTGTTTCTTGAATCTGTTTTAAAATAATAAAATTAATTTTAATTTAATAATAGTAATTTATGTTATTGAGAAAGAGTAACCTTATTTGATTCATTTTTATTTATTCTTGAAATTTACATTAAGCAGAACTTCTATAAAAACTGCAGATTATATTTAATTGCTTAAAGTGAAATATAAACTTTGGAGGTCTATATATACTTAGATAAACAGTAATTTCTCAAAGAAAAAAAGCAATTAAATATTAAATTTGTGCCGAATACCAAATTATTCATGTAATACGAACATTCCTATAAGAAGGTATAGAATTTCCATTTCAGCTTTCATAAATACAATATTTTCGTTTCTACAGTGGAATCTACATTAGTAAATTTTGCCAGTTAATATTAGACAATGAGGTAGTCTATTAACAGTTCCAATCTTACAAAGATACTGTTAGTTTTGGCGCTTCTTTTCCTCCTGTATATCTTTATATTTTACCCACTGTATATTTTGATGTAGTTCGAATACTTGCTGAATTTAAAAATTTAAATAATTATAATATAAATCATTGTGACAATTTTTTGCTATATTTTTATTCAAAATATAATATACTGTAGGAATGATATAATAAAACTCTAATATTAAAATATTTAATATCATAATATTAAATTTATAGTATTGAATAATCTTTCGATTATTATATAACATCGCCTCGATACGATTTTAGAACGTTTTTGTTGCTTTCGAAAACTAAGATTTGTTGCTTAAGAAGAAAAGTGTACGAATTGCGATTAATTTTCAGGAATTGATAAGCCATGTAGAAGTTAAATGTTTGTCTATATGCTAATTGTGAAGCAGTGCATGCTATATTTATAATAAGAGTGATGATGTAAGCAGCTGCAGATCTAAAATATAATTGAATTAATTACGAAAATAAAATGACTTATGTGTTAATTATATGCCATAAATAAATGAAACTCTTTTTGCAACTTATTACGATATCATTTAATTTTTGTTATTGTTTAAAAATAGTGTACGGGGCGAGGAGGGCCAAGTAACTAAGATTAGATGTGAGCTCCTGATGTTGATAGGAGGATTGCAGGCTAGTGGACAAGATAGTACATGTATTCAATAAAGAGCAGTTTTGTTATTTAGTTTGTTTTATTTATGATTGTACTAGTTGAATTATAATTAGTTTTATTTTTATAATTGATTTTTTTACTTTTCTTGATTTGTATGTTTATTGCCACTGAGCTATCACATAAGTCGCATACACAGGAAGAAGTTGATGCCTTGCTGGTCCTCTATATGTAACACACGTGTAGATGAAATAATACACACAGAAGAGCGAGGTCGTAAACCCCCGCGCTTCCTTGTATATGAGCACGTGGCGTCGCTTGAATTGCTTGTATTATGTTTTGCAGATTGGCGTATATAGCTTGATATAGTTAAGAATTAATTTGAAATGGAACGTTACCTCGTGAGTCTGCACGTTGTGTATAGCTATGTTTTGTCTTATTCTTTGTATTGCCTCGTAGGGCTCCTTGTAGTTGATTGTATATACTGTGCGGACTAATGTTCGTAGTTCTCGATTCCCTTTTTTGTATTACACTGCTGCGAGTGTATGATTTGATTATCTAGTACTTGTGTTGAATAGATTAATCTTGGACCTTTGCGTTTAATTGACTTGTTCTTTTTCTGTTAGATAAGATAAGATAAGTGATTGTGCCGTGCCGGTGTTACCTTTTTTAAAGCCTTCTCTCGACCACACGGTAGTCGGTGAGAATTCCCTCTCTTTTGGTGTCGTCAATCAGAGCTGTCTTGTCGATCATGGCGTTGCCAATGAGATTTAGTCTTATTAGTGTGCCCAATCAGAATTCTTCTTTAGTTTATGGTAATTCTAATCACGGCGCCTTTCGAGTGGTGGGGTCTCCCACCA